CCACCACTGGAGTGGTTTGGCAGTTTTACTCATTAGTCCTATACGATAGGACAAAGCAAAGCGTCGCTTGAATGTGAGGCCTACCTTACATTTCTACACTACCTTTGCCCCTTATGCATAATCCTTTTATATATTGCTAGATTTGGTTGGCTAAGATCTCCTAAGGATTGTTGTGTCTAGGTTCCTGAGACAATTGGCAGGTGATTTTTCCCGACATCCTCTGTCCAGTTTTGCAGTCCCTTCCTTGTCTTCCTCTTCCTCCTCCTTCGTCCTCCATCCCCCTCTCGCCTCCTCCTTTTTCATTCTCCCATCATTCCTTTCTTTCTCCCTCCACCCTTTGATTCCTCTCGCCAAAGGACAATTCCTACTCTCATCCAAAATGCTTCCACAATGTGGAGTGCCTTCCTGGTAATCCAGGGACGCCCCCATAATGTAACTGAGCACCTCGTGCTGGACATTGCATTTTAAAAAATCATTCAGTCTTCCAATGAGCATTCCAATGATGTGTGTGTGTGTGTGTGTGTGTGTGTGTGTGTGTGCGCGCGCGCAAGTTCATGATTCATCTCTGCTGCTGGACACATAGACTAGAGATTGCTGAGTTACAGATCTTCAACACTCAGTGAAAGTATGTGAAGAAGTAGTCACTCTTTTCGGTTCTTCAGTGCTGCCCACTGAATGTTAGCATCGTGACATTTCTTGCCCTTTTCGGCCCATTTTAAATTTGCTCAGTTTTTTTCTGTTATCTTTTCTATTGAATAGATACTTGTTTTATTTGAGGGGGCTATTGTTCTTGCGGTTTTTGTTGGCTTTATTTTTCATTTGTTTTATGTTTGTTTGCTTTTCTGTAGATGGAAAACAGGATCGGTACGTCTATAGAGATCATAACTTGAGTAATAGCTTCTTGGGGGCATGGGAGGAGAGGATGGGGGAAATGGGAAGCTCATAATGAGAACGAGAAAGAAGAAAATCTTCTGCAATTGGTTGTGGTGATGATTGCACAACTATTTTTATGTTTAACACATTGAATTGCATGATATGTGAATGGCATGTCAATAAAACTATTAAAATGCTTTTAAAATGTACCATAGTTGATGAGCAATACAAATGATGGATTCATTTGCAGCAAAGACAGGAACTCACACCCGTGAGGGCTGAGGGGTCCGGTTTACATAGATTTTCTTGCTGTATTTTTGCACACAACTTATCGGGCCTCATTATCAGGTAAATAAGGCAAATTTTTAAAAGACTAAGTGTCTTGTCAGAGGTCAGACAAGACGGTGGCATGCATAAAGATCCCTTGTAAGGCAATGGTTAAGCGCTCGGCTGCTAACCGAAAAGTCAGCAGTTCAAACCCGCCAGCTACTCTGTAAGCTCTGACAAAAGACTCCGTGAACTGCTCCCATGAAGACCACAGCCTAGGATGCCACAGGGGCAGTTCTACTCTGTCCTACAGGGGAAATGTGTGCAGAATTGACTCGATGCGGCACAAGACAAGTACAACATATCTAACACCAGATGGTGAGTCCTTTCTCCAACTCACAGTATCTTTCTTTTGGGTGCAGAAGTCAATGTCCTGTGGCCTCTTCTCCTCTCCATTTCTCTGCCATCCCGAGTGCACCAATTTTCCATCTTCACGATGGCATCTCGTAAGACTTTCAGCATCAAGAGATCCCTGGCCAAGAAACAAAAGCAGCATTGCCCCCTTCCCCCATGGCTTCGAATGAAACCTGGGAATAAGATCAGCTCCAACTCCAAGAGAAGACATTGGAGACGAACCTCGCTGGGTCTGTAAGCAGCTTCCTGCGCGATGTGCGCTCAGGTCCCATTTACTCAGGCTCTCTAGCTGTCTGTCATGGTACGTGTAAGACTTTGCCACCATCTGATCCATGGAA